CTTTTCCCTTTGCCTAGAACACTTTGCTCCCAAACTTTCATCTTGTCTTTCTGTCATTCGGGTCTCAGTTTCAATGCCATTCACTCACTCAGGGAGGATCTCATACCATATCTAAGCACAGTTCCTTGCTGCTTTGCCTACCATCCTGTGTCATTTTCTCAAAGCACTACTTACCAATTTCTTCTTCAGTTTTTTTTCTTTTCAGTATTGGAGTTTGAACTCAGGGCCTATACCTTGAGTCACTCCATCAGCCCTTTTATTGTGATTTTTTTTTTTCGATATAGATTTTCTCAAACTATTTTGCCCAGGCTGGTTTCAAACCTCGAGCCTCTTGATCTCTGCCTCCTGAGAAGCTAGGATTACAGGCATAAGCCACCATTACCTGGCTCAGTTTTTATTTTTACTTTTGGGCAGTGTTGGGGATGGAACCCAGGTTCTCCCGCCTGCTAAGTAAGTGCCCTATCTCTGAGCTACATCCCCAGCCCTTCTTTCAGTTTCTTTTCCATCTGGCCTTACTGGAACATAAGCTCTAAGGATGCCAGTTCCTTGTCTCACCTGTTTGCCACTATATCCCCACTGCCTAGAACAATGCACAGCACATAGTAGGCACTCCACACATACTTAGTAAGTGGAAGGATAGATGAATACTGACATAAAGCAGAACAAAGTTCAACTGTAGGTTTGTGGCTTGGATAGGAACTTCTACTTATTGTAGTCAGATTTAAGTTTAGGGTTAGAAATGGGCATAAGTAGGTTTCAAGATTAGCCTTAGACACAGGGTTGAGTCAGTTTAGAGGATAAATTTTACTTAAGGGTTTATTGATTGGAATGTGTTTACATTTGAGGTTAAGATTAACATTGGGGTTGAGTTTGAGTTGTGATTTGAGTTGAGGTTAAATTTGGATTGTGAGGCTAATGTCATTTTAGGAGGCCCCAGAGATATCGCTGGTCTCTTCACAGAGACCACTGTAGAAACTGTATTTCCCTGATTTTGGGCACAAGACTCCAGTCATCAGTCCTCCCACCCAGGGAAAGCCCCTAACCAACTACTGGCCTCCCCAAGAAAGAAACCAAATTTCACACAACCTCCGAAACTGAGATTGATACCAAGATTAGCCCATTTCAAGGAGCGTCCTTCAGCACACACAAACTCCTGTGACACTGAGCCTCAGCCGGCTTTCGCCCTTCCTCTCTACCTCATGTTTCTCCACACTCCTTCTTGCCTTCCTCTTTCTGTCCGTTGATATCCCACTCTCCGACCTGCTTCTCTCTCTCTCTCTCTCTCTCTTTCTCCCTCATAATACTGTTTTGTACTTAGCTTAGCAGGAGCCTTTTAGTCTATCCACTTGTACCATTAGAGAATCAGAAAGAAACAGCAGGAAGGAAAAAAAGACTCCCAGGGAAAGAGGAAACCAGAAAAGAGGAAAGGAACAGGGGTCAAGAAGGAAAACAACAATGACACAAGCGGTAACAAGATTAAAAGAATGGGGCTAGGGATGTAGCTCATGGGTAGAGCGCTTCCTAGCATGGGCAGGGCAACACACACACACACACCAAAAGATAATAATAATAATAATAATTTAAAGAACAACAAGGAGAGGAGATACAGACCAAGGAATTTGAAAGAAGCATTTTTGGCTTTTCCTCCTCTATTACATGTGGGCAGCCACCAAGACCTGTAGGTTTTCCCTAGAATCACTGTCCTTTCTGTTCTCCTGTAACTGCCTTTATACAAACACAAACCCTATGTCCTTGCTGGAGCATTGTAAAACCCTCCTCACTGGTCTACATCTGTGGTCTCCCCTCTAGCTTTCACCACCAATCTCCATACCCCAATCCATTCTTCATGTAACTTCTAGACTCTGTTTTCTAACATACCAATCTAAGTGGGCCCTGCTCTTGTTTAAAATTTTTACTGAATTTCATCATATTAGGAATGAAATCCAAACTTCTTTTCTTGGCTTTAAATGCTTCAGGATAGATGCTCAGCTTACCTCCCAAGTCTGCTCCTTCCATTTGTACCCAGCTGTACATCTCAACATGACATGCTCTCTTTCACCTCCAGCCTGTGCACATATTCTTCCCTCCATTGGGAATGCCCCTCCCCATCTTCCTTGCTTCCATAACGAATGCCAGGCCATGTTTGATGGCTCTACTGTGGTCTTCCTTGAGTCCACAGTCAGGCAACATATGATACTCTACTGTCCTTAAGCTCCCAGAGGCCAGGGAATCATCTTTTGTATCTGTCTCCCCAGTGCCTTGTACTCAATAAAAGCTTATGGGACTGGCAGAGTGGCTCCAACAGTAAGAATGCCTGCCTAGCAAGCATAAAGCCCTGAGTTCAAACCCCAGTCCCACCAAAAAAAAAGTTTATGGAGTGAAGAAAAAACTGAAGAACATTGGGGCTGACAAAATAGTAACTCAAAATATGGAGCCATCAATAAAAATAAAATAAAATAAGAGGAAAAAAATATGGAGCCTTGGCATACTGAGTACTTTGAAATTAGGGACAGTTTTCCCTGGGTCTTTGGGCCTTTGTCTCTAGTGTCATATAAATAAGTTTGCTGAGCTGGGCATGGTGGTACACATCTATAAACCCAGCACTCAGGAGGATCAAGAGATCAAGACCAGCTGGGCACTGGTGGCTCAGGCTTGTAATCCTAACTACTTGGGAGGCTGAGATCAAGAGGATTGTAGTTCAAGGCCAGCCTGGGAAAATAGTTCATGAGACCTCCTCATCTCCAAAATAACCAGAGCAAAATAGACTGGAGGCTTGGCTCAAGGGGTAGAGCACCCGCTTTGTAAGCACAAAGTCCTGAGTTCAAACTACAAATAAATCAAATGCTCATGAATGGAAGAATGCATTGTAGTGTATTTATATAATAGAAGAGTATAACACAATAAAACCTCACAAATATAAAGTTGACTGAGAAAAGCCAATCAAGGGTTGGTGGAGTGGCTCAAGTGGTAGAGCGTCTGCCTAGGAGTTCAAGCCCCAGTACTGCCAAAAAAGAGAGAGAAGACAAACACAAACAAGGACATTCCATGTGATTTCATTTCTATGAAACCAAAAAGCAGGAAGAACTAACACGTTGGTGATAGAGACCAGAGAGTGATTCATGACCTTTGGAGGGTATTGACTAGTCAGGGCCATGAGAGAACCTGCTGGGGACCTGAAAATGTATGACGCTGGATGGGCTACATGGCCATATACAGATGGAAACGCTCAGCTGCACACTTCAGAGGTGTGCACCTCAGTATACCTAAGTTGCACATCAATGAAGGAAAACACTAAGCAGGGGGTGGCTTAGTGTAGAGCAGATACTTAGCATTCATGAGGCCCTGGGGCTGGATGGAGATAGATGATAGATAGACAGACAGACAGACAGATAGATAGAAAACAATTCTAAATGATTTTTTTTTCTTTGTATTGCTGGGGATCAAATCCAGAGCTCAGCACTTGCTAGGAAAGTGCTCTACCACTGAGTTAGCTGCTCAGTCCCTCAAGGCAGTGTAATTGGCTCCACAAATACAGCCTCAAGACAAGTCCCTTTGCTGTCCCCACCTCACCCTAGGTCGCCATCCTTTAAGCCCCTCCTGTGTGGAACTTTTTTTTTTTTTTTTTTGAAACAGGGTCTTGTATAACCCAGGCTGGCCTGGAACTCACAATCCCAAGCACTGGGATTACAGACATGTGCAACCACACCAGGCTCCTATGTGGAATTCTGAAGCTCCCACTCTACAGAGTAGAAGCCTGGACTGTGTGCTTAGTTGGAGTATCAGAAAACTGAGCTCTAAGTGGACAGCATCCTTCAGGAGTGGAATGAGACCTCATTATATATGTGTGTATATATATATACACATATATATATATATATATATATATATATATATATATATATATATATATATATATATATATACACCATCATCTCTGCTTAAGGGAACCAAAAACATAATCATCTCCGAAGGCTGAACACTCAAGAATGAAAGGGGGCTCCGTTCATATTTTCAACAAGCAGGCATGTATGTACCAGACAAGGGGGGTCTACACTGCAACTTCTTAACTTGAAACCTGGAGACCTAGAAAGTACATACACTGGGACAAGTGTAACCTATCTCATTTGGGACAAGGACAAAGTGGGGGGGTGCAAGAGAAGGAAATGGGTAGAGAGAGGCCTGTAATCAGCCAAGGGTGCAGAGGTGTTATAAATTATCACTCTTCAGGGAACCAGGCCTCCAGCCACAGCCCAGGTGCTCCCCCTCCTCCTCCCCGAATTGCCTGCCCCTTCTCTGGAACTCCTAGGCCTGACCCTGCTCCCTGGATGTCCCAGCCCCACAGTTCCCCTGACTCCACTCCCTTTCCCAGAACTCAGTTGCCTGAACCCCCAGCCTGCGGTTCTTTCCTAGGCCTCAGCCTTTCCTGCCTTCGACTGAAACAGCAGCATCTTCTAAGCCCTGGGGGCTTCCCCGCGCCCCAGCCCCGACCTAGAACCCGCCCGCTGCCTGCCACGCTGACACTGCCGCTTCCTCTATAAAGGGACCCAAGCGTCCGGGCCCAGGGGCCCCACACAGCAGGTAAGACTCTCCTGCCCCATCTCCTTGGGCTGCCCAGGCGCCAGGCTCCTGCCTTGTGTTGTTTTGCCCCTCCACCTGAGCCCCAGCCCCTCCTGCTCCTCCTGCCTGGACCTCCCTGGCCTGGGCCTTGGTGGGTTTGGTTTTGATTTGTTCCTAGTCTGTAACTCTCCATCTGTCAGTGTTTTTCTCTCTGCCCCTTGTCATGCATTCTCTGATTCTGTCGTGATCCTTCTCTGTTCCTTTCCGGTCTCTCTCTTTGTCTCCCTCTGCTCACCTCAGGGTTTCCCTGCCAGTGTCTTGTCCCCTTCTCTGTCTGTCGCCCTGTCGCTCAGGGTGGTTGTCTTTGCTGGGGGTAGGAGGTCTGTCTTCCGCTGTGCGCCCCGCCCCACTCACTGCCACACACTCTCTCTCTCCCTGCAGATTCTCCCCATGACACCACCTGGACGTCTCTACCTCCGGAGGGTGCTTGGCGCCCCCCTCCTCTTCCTCCTGGGGCTGCTGCTGGCCCTGCTGCTGGGGGCTCAGGTGAGACAGCAGGAAAATGGGGGCTGCTGGGGTGGCCCAGCCTGACCTAGAGCTCTAGAGCCTTCTCAACTCTGTTCTTCCCTTAGGGACTCCCTCGTGTTGGCCTCTCACCCTCAGCTGCCCGGACTGCCCATGAGCACCCTCAGAAGCATTTCTCCCATGGCACCCTCAAGCCTGCTGCTCACCTTGTTGGTAAATTTCCACCTGACCTCCCACTCATGTAGTCCCCTGTCATCCTCCTACCTTCCCCATCCAAGTATCCAAGTTATCTCCCCCCTATTTTCCCCCTAACTTCTCTTACCCTAAAGATGGAGAAAAACCTTCTCCACATCTTCCTCAACCATCCCCTAGGAACTCAGTGGTCCAATGCCTGCTTCCTCAGGGATGCAGAGCTCTGACCTAGCCCCTTGACCCCCATCCTCTATGGCTTTTCTTAGGAGACCCCAGCATGCAGAACTCACTGCGCTGGAGAGCAAATACGGATCGTGCCTTCCTCCGACATGGCTTCTCTTTGAACAACAACTCCCTCCTGGTTCCCACCAATGGCCTCTACTTTGTTTACTCCCAGGTGGTGTTCTCTGGGGAAAGCTGTTCCCCCAATGTCATCCCCACCCCTCTCTACCTAGCTCATGAGGTTCAGCTCTTCTCCTCCCAGTACCCCTTCCATGTGCCTCTTCTCAGTGCTCAGAAATCTGTGTGCCCAGGGCCACAGGGACCTTGGGTGCGCTCAGTGTACCAGGGGGCTGTGTTCTTGCTCACGAAGGGAGATCAGCTATCCACCCACACAGACGGCATCTCCCATCTACATTTCAGCCCCAGTAGTGTCTTCTTCGGAGCTTTTGCTCTGTAGAACTTGGAAAAATCCAGAAAAGAAAAATTATATTTCAAGCCCTTCTCTCCCATTTTGCCTCCATCCTGAGCATTTCAAGAGTCACAGCACCTCTCCTTTGCCCATTCCAACAGTCTCAAGTCTTCCCCACTCAAGTCACCTGGACCTTTCAAAGAAGGAATTCCAGCCACTCCAAGAGACACATCCCCAACCACCTAGGGTGCTCAGCTGAAGACTTCAAGCCTGCCTGGAAATTCCCAGAGCAGAGCTGTTTGTCTGTCCTGCTGGTCTAGGACAGATGAATGTGGACATGGAGAAGAAGGAGGAGACATAGGGGAGCTAGGGCAGATGACTGGAGGCAGGGAAGGGGGACTATTTATGAAGGAAAAATTAAGTTATTTATTTATGGGGGATGGAGAGGGGAACAATAGAAAGGCACCAGGAGAGAGAGAACTCAGAGATGAAGAGTAAGAAGACATCCTCACAGGGCTCAGAGAGAGAGAGAGAGAGAGAGAGAGAGAGAGAGTAGGTCTTGAGGGACCAAAAAGGGATCTAGAAGGAAGCGAAAGGCTTGAAAAGCCAGCCATGACACCCGCAATGAGCCACCTGCACCCTCGATGAAGCCCAATAAATCTCTTTTCTATGAACTACTGTCTGCTGATGTCTGTTTGTCTGGGGTGGGGAGATAATTTCCCAGGTATCTCTAAGGAATGGAGGGAGGGACAGAGACCTCAGAGAGGTCAGGGGCTGTGGGCAGAACAAGATAAAGGTGCCCATGGAACTCGAGAGACACATGGCTGACTTGTGGGGGCCAGGCAGCCTGAGTGTTGCAGGAAGTTGCAGAGGTAAAGGAAAATGGGGGAGCTATGGCCACATGTGGAGGCTTTGAGGAATAAAGGTTCCAGGAGGTCTCTGGGGAAAAGTGGCCACACCAAAGGATAGGGGAATGTCAGGACCGTGAAGGTGGAATATGAGAATCCTGGGACCCTTAGGAATGGGAGAGCCTCCAGAATTAAGGGGTATGGAATACAGTGGACATTTGAGGAGACATGGCCACACACCAGGGTTCTGAGAGGTGGGGGTTGGGGGAGCTTCATGAAAAAGTCAGATGCTTCAAAGTCCATTGGAAGCCAAGACTGAAAGCAACAGTGTGAGTCTGAAGTCAGAATGAAAGGAGAAGGCCTGCCCTGTGGGGTCTGTGAATTCCCAGGGCTGATTTCATTCCCTCTGGGGCTGTCCCAGACTTGTCCCTGCTACGCCTACCCAGCCCTTCCAGAGGTCTCATGCACACCCAAGTCTCAAGCTGCCCTGCTCCCAGCTCCTTCCTCCCCCAGGGACCCAGACATGGCTTTCCTCCTCACTGAATTTTCTTCCCTTCAAGTACTCAGCTTTCTGAGGCCCATCTCATGTCAAGATCATGTGAGTCCTGACTGGATATCAGAGGAAACAGACCACAGACATGGTCCCCCAAGGAAATAGAGACAATTAGCCCTGGAGAGCAGAGAGGAATGGAGGTCCAGGTCCCAGGGTCCTACACACACACTGGTAACTGGTTCAAGAAGCTTGCCTCAGAATCCTGGTGGGGAGGATGAGGAATATCCTTGATGCCTGGGTGTCCCCAACTTTCCAAACCCTCGCCCCCGCAATGGAGAAGAAACCGAGACAGAAGGTGTAGGACCCACTACCGCTTCCTCCAGATGAGCTCATGGGTTTCTCCACCAAGGAAGTTTTCCGCTGGTTGAATGAGAGCCTTTCCCCGCCCTCCTCTTGCCCCATGGGCTATAAAGGCAGCTGTCTGCACACCCAGCCAGCAGAAGCTTCCTCGGCGAGGACAGCAGGGCATCAGCCAAGAGGGAAAGAAGCAACTCCAGACCCCCTGAAATAACTTCTAGACAAGAAGCCAGGCAGGCTGATTCTGTCCCTCTCACACACACTGCCCTAGGGCTCCACATCTCCCTTTGGAAAGGACACCATGAGCACTGAAAGCATGATCCAGGACGTGGAACTGGCAGAGGAGGCACTCCCCAAGAAGGCGGGGGGCCCCCAGGGCTCCAGACGGTGCTTGTGCCTCAGCCTCTTCTCCTTCCTGCTTGTGGCAGGAGCCACCACGCTTTTCTGCCTGCTTCACTTCGGGGTGATCGGCCCCCAGAGGGAAGAGGTGAGTACCTTGCCAGCCTTCACGCTCACCCAGACAGAGATGGGGAAGAAGGAGAGTGAGATAAATGGAGTGAAGGAAAAAAGTGTCCTGATAAGGAGGAATAAGTAGAGAAAGATGGGGAAACAGAAAGAGATGTGGAGAGGATGGGGAAAAGAAAGACATAGAGATAGGATGTCTAATCCATGGGCATGCTTACTAAACATTTGTTTGGTGAATGAATGAATGAATGAATGAACAAGCAGATATACATTATAAAGAGAGATGTGGAGAGAGATGTGGCAGAGGAATGGGGGAAGAAACAGGTGATAAAATGGTGAGACAGAAAGAGATAAGGGAGATATGAGACTTGAGAGAGTTGAGGGAAGAGAGATAAGGAGAGGTGAACCTAGGGTGTCTGACCCATGGAAGGCACTTAATGAAAGACTTATTGAGTTGCTGGATGAGTGCATGAATAAATGAATGAATGGAGAGAAAACCAGACACAGAGCAGTCAACACAAACTATAAAAGCATGGTTATCTATCTTTTGGGGGTGATTCCTCAGATGCTGACCTTCTCTTTCTCCCCAGCAGTTCGGGAATAGCCTTCCTTTCAACAGCCACCTGGCCCAGACCCTCACACTCAGTAAGTATCTCCAAAGCTTCTCTCCTAACACTGGGGCAGGGGGAGGTTAGTCCTGGGATGGAAGCAGTGGGGGAAATTTAGAACTTTGGCTTTGGGGGGAGGAGGAATGGATATTTTAGGAAGTTTAAGGGACTCAACTTTTTCTTTGTTCTTTCCTCCTCAGGATCATCATCGCAAAATGCAAGTGACAAGCCTGTAGCCCATGTTGTAGGTAAGAGCTGTGAGCAAGTGTCTTGGAGATGAAGCAACAGAAGGGATAGGGTTTAGTAGCATAGACAGACCTTGGAGGCAGTGTGTGAAAGACCCAAGGGGAGGCAGAGGAATAGTAAGGCCTCAAGGAGGATACTCAAGACCTCATCACTAAATGGGATGTGAGAAGACAGAAGGAACAGGAACCGGAAGTGGGGATGAGCAGAACTAGAGGGCCAGGATGTGGAGAGTGAACTGACAGGGCCACACTGACTCACCTCTCCCTCCTTCCCTCCAGCAAACCACCAAGTGGAGGAGCAGCTGCAGTGGCTGAGCCGGCGTGCCAATGCTCTCCTTGCAAATGGCATGGAGCTGATAGACAACCAGCTGGTTGTGCCAGCAGACGGACTGTACCTCATCTACTCCCAGGTCCTTTTCAAAGGCCAAGGCTGTCCCTCCTATGTACTTCTCACCCATACAGTGAGCCGCTTCGCCGTCTCCTATCGGGAAAACGTTAACCTCCTCTCTGCCATCAAGAGCCCCTGCCAGAAGGAGACCCCAGAGGGGGCTGAGCTCAAGCCCTGGTATGAGCCCATCTACCTGGGGGGGGTCTTCCAGCTGGAGAAGGGTGACCGACTCAGTGCGGAAGTCAATCTGCCCAGCTATCTAGACTTTGCTGAGTCTGGGCAGGTCTACTTTGGGGTCATTGCTCTGTGAGATGGATGGTCATCCATTCCCCTCAGAAACCCTCATCCTCTTCTGTCTTAGAAAGGGAATTTGGGGTTCAGAGTCAGAGCCCAAGATTAGAACTTTCTACAGCAACAGCACTCAGAAATTTAGGATGCAGGGATGTGTGACCTGGACAATGGTGCACTCACTAGCCTCCATCAAGAATTCAAACTGAGGCTTCCAGAACTCACTGGGGCCTCACATTTCGATCCCTGAATTCAACCTGGATCATCTGGAGTGTAGGGATCAGGCAATCTTGATTCAGAATACCCCTGGTAGAAGACCTCACCTAAAACTTGACATGAGTGTACTTCAGAACTTCCTCTCCTCAGATGTTTCCAGATTCTTCCCTGAGATGTGGAGTCCAGCCCACCTCACAGGGCCACCCTCCTCTATTTATGGTTGCACTTGTGATTATTTATTATTTATTTATTATTTATTTATTTACTGATGAATGTATTTATTTGGGAGGTCAGGGTGTCCTGGGGGACCCAATGTAGGAGCTGCCTTGGGTCAGGCATGTTTTCTGTGAAAATGGAACTGAATTATAGGCTGTTCCCACCTGGCCTCCTGGCCTCTGTGCCTCCTTTTGCTTCTGTTAAAACAAAATATTTATCTAATCCAGTTGTTTTAATAATGCTGATTTGGTGACCAGAGTGTGGTTGCTGCATGGCTGAATCTCTGCTCCCCAGGGGAGCTGTGTCTGTAATCGCCCTACTGATCAGTGGCGAGAAATAAAGATTGCTTAGAAAATAAACATACTTTTTTTTTTTAATTAATTGTGCAGCTACTCTGGGTGGTGGTGGATGGGTTGGAGATGGGGGAAGGCCACTCACTGACGTCCTCCCTCCAGGGGACTTAAAATTCCTGCACCCAGGTCTCAGTCCTTACACTCCTAGGGCCCAGGAGACCCTACAGAACAAAGCCCACCCAATATCCTTCCTCCCCCAAGAGACAGGAGCCTGAACCTAATTACCTCTCCCTCAAGGCATGGGAATTTCCCACTCTGGGAATTCCAAATCCCTGCTGGGAAAGTACTGCAGTTCGTTCAGGCTGTTGTGGCCTGACAGAGCTGGGAGGAGCCACATTCTCAGGTACCTGAATCACTGCCAAGGGACTTCCAGAGACTCAGGTGTCTGGGCTAGAAAATACTCAATTTCAGTCACTCCCCAACTTCAGCTGTGTCCTAACTATGCAACCTGAACCAGTCAACCTCAAACCAGTGAATCAGACATAAGAACACATAATGCATAGTGGGCACTTGACAAGGCCCCACCTCTATTGGCATCCAGCTCAGTACTTGACATGGTAGGCACTCAATGATTTCAGCCGTACTTCATTTAGCTGGCAACCAACTACCTATCCCTTTCCATTCTCTCAGTGGGTAAAATTGAAGACTGGAGAAAATAAAAAACAAGGAATAGGGGTGTGGCTTAGTGGGAGAGGGCAATAATTAACATGTGCAAGGCCCTGGGTTCAATGGACCCAGCATTGAAAAAAACCAAAAAACAAGAAGTAAGACAAACAACAAAGTAAGACAACTTTGGTCTCTTACTGATGTTTTCAGCAAATGATGAAGGGAGGAGTATGAGGTGGGTGATATACAAAGAGAAAAGCACCCCATTAAAAAAAAAGTTACTCAGGCTGGGGATGTACTCAGTGGTAGAGAGCATGTAGAACACGTGCAAAGGCCTGGGTTTGATTCCCAGCTCCACAAAACAAAAAATTATATTCAAGGCCCTGGGTTAGATCCCCAGCATATTATATATATATATAATATGTATATACATATATATACATATTCATGTATATGTATTATATATTTTTTTCAATGGATTCAATAGCACTGTTAAAAGCATACTAAGACTTAATTCAAACCATGATGACAGGTGCATGGACCATTGCACCTATCATAGGGTCTTGCAGTGGGGGAGACTGGGCTCAACTCTAAATACAGCATGGACAAGTGGGAATTGATAGCCAAGGAGCAGCGTGGGATTGAGTGGATGGAAAATTACTAAAAGGAAAATGAAATCGGGGTAGGGGGATTCTGGCTAAACAGGTCTGAAAATATACTTGCTCCGACAGGCCAGGGCAATCAGACATCCCCCCCAGGGGATGGTGGAGGATGAGGAATATGACCTGATACTCCTGAAAGTGATCAGATGTCAAGAGAGTAGGAGGTGAGAGGAAGGCGGGATCTTGCTAAGCTGACCTTAACAGGGCTTTTCACTAAAACTATTTAATAAGGAAGTATACAAATAGGCCTAGGAGAAGATTTGGAAGCCTGATGAAAATTTGGCCAAGCAAAGACTCTTTATCACCCTCCCACCCTACAGGAAGGCTCTTCTAGATGCGGAGTCAAAGACAAATATGGAACCGGAAGTGGAGCCCCAGAGAGTGGGCTCAGAAGTTGGACTTCTTCAGCTTGGGTTGTAGGGAGTGGAAAACCAAACATGTGGTATGCTGTGAGGATGGGTGACCTAGATAGGCCTGGTGCTGAAAGTCGGTCATGGCGTGGGGGGACTGCTGTTACTCATCCTATGGGTCTCCACATTTGCCCACTTTGGGGAAGAAAACATAGTGTGAACAAAAGGAGAGGACTTTCCATCCCACCCTAGAAAGGACTCCATGGCATCAGTTTCCTCCGCCCTCTCCTCCCTGGCCTCTCTCTGGTGTCATTGGGCAACACAGGGCCCCTGGTCTGATTCCATCTCCCCAACACCTTCCCCTCTTTTCTCTGCCAGCCTCCCCTCTTCAGACCCCATGAGCCTGGACAGTACTCCTTGGAGAAAAGTTGACTGTTGGTCAGGCAGCCAGCAGGGAAGAGCTGCTGAGCTCTGCAGTACTTCCTAACTCAGCCATACCAGGGTTTTCCTCTGCCACTGTGCCTTTCTGAGCAGTGCTTGCCTTCTATAGTGACCCCTCTCACGGTGGGGCGGGATCCAGGAGAAACAGCATAGTGGAGAGTACATGACCCTGAGAATCAGGATGTTTGGCTGTTTCAGGGTTTGAGAAGGTTCCTACTCCCCTTTTACTGGACTCATGCTGGAGCCTGGCAGTTAGAGGCAGGGGTGGGTGGGACAAGCAGATCACCATCCCTGGGAGCAAAGGCCATATGCAGTGCTATGTATGAATGGTTTTGTGTAACAAGAAAAATAAATGGTAGTTAACCCACCCCAGTGCACTGCCCGGAATTAAGACAGGTTAACAGGGCTGGGGGCATAGCTCAAAGTGGTAGAGTGTCTGCCGCTATGGCATACAGGAGACCCTGGGTTCAATCCCAGGATATTAGCATCTCAGTATCCTCACGGGCAGCCCTAAAGTTTTACATTCTTTATTTTCATCAGGCTCAAAATCAGTTTCCAAACAGTCTTCTACATTTTTCCCACTGCCACGGGATCCCAAGCGTCTGGATCCCCAATATCTGCACCTATTCACACATTCGCACCATACAGTCGTTTTTTTCCAGGGACGCAGGCAGCCTTCACCCCACCATCACCGCCCCAAAGAAGGTTTTCCTCTCCTGTAGTCCACCATATCGGGATGACTGATGTTGACATACACCCTCTCGCTGCTCCGGAGCTGCACCAGGCCGCCGAACCCCACGCTGGTGTACCATAGGGGCGCGTACTCGGGCCTCCCGGCACCGTCCAGCACTGGGGTCACGGTCTCGGCGCCCTCGAGCAGCAGTTCCGGAGTGCCCGGCCCGTAGGCGCCTCCAGTCCGGTACAGAGAGCTGCGCAGCGTGACCGAGCGGCCCAGGGGGCCTCGGCCATCAGGGGGCGCCCGGCCCCGGTAGCCGACGTTACAGTAGAGATAATAGAGGCCATCCTGCGGCAGCGCCAGCCCCTCCGCGCCGGAGAACTGCGTCCCGCTCCTCAGAAACGCCTCTTCTTTCTTCGCCTCCCAGCTTAGCCCCTGCCCCTTCATCCAAGCGCCTGCGGAGAAATGGGCCAGTGGACTTTTGGAGAATCCGACCCTGAGAAGAGCCATCTGGCCCTGGACTTAAGCGAGAGTGAGCAGGAGTCGGAGGGGCGCGACTTTTAGCGCCCTGCGCGAACCTACAGGGGAGGAGCCCGAGGGATGATGCTACGCACAGAATGAGTGACTTAGGGGACACTTGCCTACCCAACAGGGAGACCCCGGCCGGCTTTTATCTGCCTGGGGATCCAAGAAGATAGAATGGGGACGCGCGGGGGGAGGGTAGAGGGGTACGCGAGCCCAAAGGTGGGCTCTTCAAGGGGCGAAAGGAGGTGATGAGAGGCTGGGAAACCCAGCCCTGGAATAGCAGAGCGGAGGGACTCACTGTGGGCTTGCAAAACTGTCATTCTTGGACTATTTGAACGCTGATTCAGGCCTAGGAGAGCCTTACCTATGAGGTGGGCAGCAGGGAGCTTGGGGCTGAGATGTGTTTCTGTCTCCTTTTCTGACAGTTCCTGAAATCTTGGAACTGGAGAAGAGTCCACGATCGGGGGCAGGGTGGCTACCCATGCATGCTCCCCCTGAGAGGACCGGGCGCCAGGACTCCGGGATAGGGAGCTCGGATTCCTGGAGGTAGAGGGTATCTGGGAACGCAGATGGGAGCTGGGAGTTGCTGACAGGCTGGAGGGCAGGAAAGGAGATGGTCTACTCTCATCCAGTCCTTGCTGCCGGGCAGCAATCTCCATTACCTGGTTGGGTGGGGTCAGAGTGCTGGAGTGTTCAGATTCAGCTGATGCCAACTCTGCCCCTCCCATCATGGACCCAAGCCCCAGGCCTGAGGTTTCCAGCACTACCCCCAGCACACACCTCTCTGGAAGGGAAAGCAAGTAAGGCATATGTTCTTGGGCAGAGCGAGGCAGTGGCCTGAGTGTGTCTTAGAAAGAGGAGAGGAGACAGACAACCAGAAAGGTGCTTGGAGATATCAGGACACAACAGCATCACAGGAACATGGAAAAAGAGTCAGCAAAGAGACAGACAAGACATTTCCTACAAGAACAGCCACCAACTGAACCAGGTGCCTACAAGACACCAAAAGATCCCAAGCATAGCCAGAGGTCAGTGAACATGAACAAGATGCAGCCCTCTAGGGCCTGTTGCAGCCACTCACCGGTCCTCCCTGCTCCTGGTGCACCAAGGCCAGCACAGCCAGGACAGTGATAGGCACTGCCAGCAGCAGGGTCACCAGCGAAGTGGCTCCTGCCACAGCCAGCAGGAGGCAGCTCCTCCCCTGGGGCCTCCCACCCCGACCCTGCAGCCCCGATGCCCCCATCCAGACTCTGAACCAGGGCCAGGTCAGGGGGCTTTCATACCTCAGGGGTGGGGCCACCCTCTCCCTATAGACCCACACACCTGGCTGGGACTTTCCGCACACCCCTGCTCCCCTCACCCAGCTTCCTGTTTACCCAGAGCTGGGGTGGGGCAGCTGGATGCCTGGGTTCTCTGAACTGGGGAAGAAGTTAAGAGAGTCAGGCTTTCAAGGTAGAGGAGATTTAGAGATTCTCCTGCTCAGCAGGGAGGGAGGCCCAGGCAGGGAAGGTAGCTTGCAGAAAGCCAAGCAGCCAGGTTGTAATAACAACACAGAACCCAAGGTCTCCAATGTGGTGTGAGTTCTGCACCCCGGACTGGGAGCTGGAGAGAGGGCTGCAAACCCCTTCCAGATATCAAGGGCTGGAGTAGGAGGACAAGAACTGGTGTCTTGAGGGATGGGTGTCTGTGTCCCTGAAAAGAACCTATCCCCACACTGGGCTGACCTCTTCCCATTCCTTTGCTCACCCCAGCACCCTGGTATCAGGTGAGAAAGGCAGAGTTAAGCCAGTGCGCATCAGTTCATAAAGGGGGCCTCAGAATCACCACTGATTGCTGACTCACTGAGGAGGAATGGAAACAGAGCATTATCTCCCTTGCTACAAAGAGTAAAGACAGAGCAATGAGGCACATCCCCTCCTCAGAAAGCTTCAGTCCAAGCCAGGTATGGTAGTACACACTGAGAATCTTGAGTTCAAGGTTAGCCCAGGCAAAGTTAAGGAGAACATACCTTAAAGACAAAATACAGGCCGGGCGTCGATGTCTCACGCATGTAATCCTAGCTACTCAAGAGGCAGAGATCAGGAGGACTGCAATTCAAAGCCAGCCCCGGAAAATAGTTCTGAGACCCTATCTTGAAAAACCCTTCACAAAAAAATAGAGCTGGTGGAGTGGCTCAAGATGGAGGCCCTGAGTTCAAGCCCCAATACCTCAAAAAAAAAAAAAAGAAGATAAAATACAAAAACAAAAAGGCTGAGGGGATGGTTCCAGAGGTAGAGCACTTGCTTGCCTAGCTTGCATATGGCCTCAGGATTCAATCCCCAGTACTGAAAAAAAAAGCTTCAGTCTAGATGGGAACCATCCATTCACAGAAGCTTACTAAATGTTTGTGAGTAAATGAAAGAAAGGAAAAATGAATGAGTAAGCCAAACAAAAGAGCAAGGACCAAATGAAAGGAAGAAATAGAGAACTTCAGGGGAAAAAGGCCAATTCCAAGAAAAAGCTGGAAGTGGTCCCAGGTTACCTTCCCTTCTTGCTGTTGGTTTTTTTTTTCCTTTTTTTTTTTTTTTTGTGGGGTTGGGGTTTGAACTCAGGGCCTCATGCTTGCTATGAAGGCATTCTTACCACTTGAGCCACTCTACCAGCCTTCTCACCTCCCTTTCTTGATGACATCTGTGTGTGTTTGGATAACAATAATAATAATAGAGAAAAAAGACAAATAGTACCGAGTATGTGCCAGTCACTGATCTACATACTTTATCCATAATAATTCCTTTAATCCTGACAAAAACCCTACAATAAAACCAAGGCACAGAGAGATTAAGAAACTAGTGGACCAGTTGGGGGAGTAGCTCAGTGGTACAGTGCTTGTCCAGCAAGTATGAGGCCCAGGTTCAATCCAAAAAAAGCTTCAAGTACTAACTTCAGATTTGTACATTTCACTATATGCAAATTTTGCCTTCTTCAGGCAAAAAAAAGAAATGGGGAAATAAATTCTGAACTCAATGATCAGCAGATTAAAGGGTTCAGAGGGGGCACAAACTATGTTTGCAACTCTGACAGATAGGAAAAGGAAGATAAGTATGTGATTAGAGAAGATACAAAAAATGTTATTTATAGAAACTAAGTGTTAGGGATATGTTTACTACACAAAAAAAATATTTTGGCAGTACTGGGGTTTGAACTCAGGGCCTTGTGCTTGGTAGTCAAGTACTCTACCACTTGAGCCATGCCTCCAGCCCTTATTGTGCAATTCTTTCATTTTTCCTTTGTTTGAACTTTTTAATAATAAAATGTAAAAAAACAAAACAAAACAAAACACTGAACATTGTCTTACTGTATTGCAGGAGGAATACTGAGGATGGGGTGAGAGGAGGAAGTAGCAGAAAGTTCCTGAATTTGGAAAACAAAACTCAAATGCAGGCGGGTGGTGGTGCACGCTTGTAATCTCAGTATTCAGGAGGTAGAGGCAGAAGGATCTTGAGTTCAAGGCCAGTCTGATTATATAGTGAGAACCTGTCTCAAAACAAAACACAGATGCATATAGACACAGATACCAGGTCTCCTCACCCCTTGCCTCCACCTGAGTTCCTAATTTTCACTCTCATAAAAGACTGAATTGCAGTCCTCCAGCACTCCTCTTCCTCTCCATCACATTGCCACTAGTCTCTGTCTAGAGGGCCTTGAGCCATTGCCCTTAGTTCTGTGCTCAATACCAAAATGGGGCTTCCTGCAGGAAGTCCTCCTAAATTATCCATACCTACTTTGTCACCACCAACTTTTTATCCATTTTCTGTCCTACATTTGTCAATAGTGTTCATATAGATCTAGTCTGGCAGCCAACCTCTCGCTCTCCTGCTTGTTAATTGGCCAGCTACAAGTACCCAACTGGATATAGCTGCAGGACACTAGGAGAGGTCACCCCAAACCCACCAGAGTTCTGTCCGAGGTAGGAGCTAGAGTATGTGTGTCCACTCACATACACTAAGATCATGAGCTGTCAGCAGATGCAAGGTGAGGGGTAATTGGGAACAAGATAATCAGGGAAGGCACCTGGAGGAGGTGAGCATTCACTGACTGCAGCAGAATAGATAGGATGGCTGGAGCTGGGGGTGGGGGGTGACTACCCTAGTTACATGCAGGAGCCTCAAAGAAAAGATGTTGTCACCCTGGACGTCAGAGCTGCACTTCCTCTCCTAGATGCTGGGGAGGCCTCCAAAGAGAGGAGAGAAGTTAAAGCCAGAAAAGGGCAGGAATGTCTGCGGCAACCATTCTTATTTCCACCCAGGCGGCTCTGACTGGTTGAATGTGTCCCCACTACAGGCCACAAGGTATGGATAAGCTGGGTGTGGGCAGGGATTTGGTGGGCAAAACCATGAGGGGGGCACACCCCAGAGTGAGGTGAGGCTAAAATGAAGGGAGGCAGAATATGGATTAGAGATTCCGTGAGCTCTAGAGGAATCCTCTGTCCTCTGAGACTTGTCCTCCTAGCCTCAAGACTCTCCAAAGAAGTTAAAAATAATCCACTTCTGTACCTACAGCCCTCTTGACCATCCTCAGGCTTTCTGCTCCACCTGGGCTACTGCTTGCCCACCTCCCAGCATTCCTCTTAAACCTAGAAGGATCCTGGTTTCAGGGTATATTCAGTGCATCTGGCTTTGTGGTGAAGTTAGCAACCCCCTTGTTTGCCCTCAAACAGGAACCAGTGGTTGAGGAGCAGGAAGAGCCTGAGGGGAAGTTATAGGCCTCAGACACTCCTCCTTGCCCCACTTCTCCACAGCAAACAAATAGGGTCTCCCTCACTGAGTGCCAACAACTGGGGGCACGGGACTCCCTCCTCTCTACTTTTCTATCAGTCCCCACACTCACCTTAACCATGACTCTCTCCCTCTATCAGCCTCTCTCCATCACCTACAACTATCCAGTGCTGGAGAGGCCCCTCCTGCAGACAGAAGGGGGAGGGAAGGAAGGCGACTCTGGAACTGGATAGATCTGATCTTGAACTCCAGTTGTTGCACTTCTAGGCTGGTCCTTATTCAAGTCTGGGCTTGAGTCTCAGGCTAGGAAAGGATTACTGTCATAACTTACGCTGTTATGAGGGTTAGCAGTGACAAGTCTAAGGTGTCCAGTGCAGGCATAGATGAGGCTCCTCCGCTAAGGGGAGGCTTGTAATAGAGGACCCCATGCTTCACAGATGAGGAACTTGAGGCACATGATTAGCCCAGGCCATTAAGCCTAGCAGAACAGCTACTAGGCTTCTTGACCTCCAGAGCCAGTTCTCATTCCCAGACCATGTCAGATTGCAACAGTCAATGGCAGTTGAGTAAGTAAGGGGCACCTCGCTTCTGTATAGGGAAGGTTGTGAGTTCTCAGAGAATAATGGGTAGAATGTGGTGTGTGCAGTTCATAAGCAGGTGATCAGGACCTCTTAGAATCAGTGAGTACAGATGGGAAGGAGCTTCCCAGAAGCCCCAGAAAGGACAGAGACTATATGGAGAAGCCACTGAGGGGAGGTAGGTCTCAGATAGGAGGCCGAGTAACTGATGAGGAAATATGCATCTTTGGTGGGAAGTGAGAAATTGAGGTCTGAAATGAAGAATCTCCCTGACAGTCTGCCTCTGAAACTGTTACCAACCAGGAGGGGGGGAAGCTGAAGAGAGTAATGGACCCTCTAATACTTATCTCTCTTCCCTACAGACATGGACCATCAACCACTCTTTTGGGGCTTGGGGCTGGGAGGGCTTCTGCTTCTCCTTGTGATCATTGTGTCCATCTGCTTGTGTCGGCTCCATCGGAGAGGTAAGCCCTACCCTCACATCTATCAGTCACCAGCCACTTGCCTGCCCACACACCCACACTCTTTCTACTGCTGGGACAAAAGTCCCATCAAACCTGACAGGCTCTGTGTGGAGGATGGTGGGAGCAGGGGGGGAGAGGTGAGAGAAATGTGTCCAGAAGGCCTGGGCTTTGGCCATGGTTTCCACCAGGGGAGTCAAAAATTGAGGAAATGCCCATTGAGAGTTGGGGAGCCAGTGAGGAGGGTGGGAGACCAGGAGAGGACTATACTGAACTGCTTCTTTTCTTCCAGTGAAGAGGCTGGAGAAGAGCCAGGTGAGTCTGGGGGCAAGGGGAGGGGAGGAGGATGGAGAGAGCCCATAACAGAGAGCACAAATAGGGATGGAAGACAGCAGGGGCTGGGAGCCAAGAGAAAAGAGAAGAGAAAGTAGGAGCATGAGGGAGTCAGAGAGATGGGGAAAATAAGAGAGAGGCAGAGAGAACTAAGAGAATAAGAAAAGAAATAGTGCAGAGAAAATAAAACTGAAAGGAGAAAGGGAGAGGAAGGAAGAAATGAGACAGACAAACAAATGCAAGAGAAAATAAGAAAGAAAACTGAGAGACAGAGAAAACTGAGAGAAAGAGAGAGAAGCTTCAGAGAGAAAAAGGGAGCCTGAATGACAGTGATGAAGAAAGGCGGAGCTGGAGGCAGAGCTCAGGGAAGGATGGAAGGGTGGCACTCCAGAACCCTCCCATCATGGCCTTCTGCCTGACCAGGCCCAGCTCCCAGAGCAGGAGCCCCACTATGCATCTCTTCAGAGATTGCCAGTGTCCAGCAGTGACCACGTCGATGGAGAAGGGGAAGGCATAAAGGAGGACCCCAGCACCGACTATGCCTGCATTGCCAAGAACAGATCCACCTGAGCACCCCAAATAACTCCCTCACCCCAGGAAGGTCGGCAAGGCCATCCTGTGGTTCTTCCAGTAAAGGTCTCATGACTTCTATGTCTCAGACTTCTCAGTCCATCTCAAGGTCACATTAGAAATGAGCACTGTCAAAACTTAAGTGGCTTGCCCTTCTACCCACTCCGGGGCCAAATACTTACTTATTGGGTAAAGAAGGGTATTTAAGGGCCTACACTCCCTTCATAACATAATCTGTAGGCCTGGCCAGAGGGGCAATTGATAAATGGGAATAATCAGCTCTGATAATCTCCATTTCTCAGAAGCCCCAGCCTCAGCCTCTGGACCTGGGAGAGGTGGGTATGCTGAGCTCCAGGGTGATGGCAGGAGGGACTCTAGGGACAATTGCCACAGAGTCTCTCCTTAGACCTTTCCAGGACAGATCTGGCGGAAGGGAAGGCTAAGAACCAGGAGAACCAGAGAGAGGCATATTAGGGCATTTGGAGAATGTTGAAGAAAACACATGAGACTCATAAGAAGGAGGTAGTGGTAGAGCATGGAAGGATTTATTGGGGTCCCTTAAAGAGAGTCAGGATCATTGGGGTCTAGAATCTCTTCTAGGAGGCTCTCCAAGGAGTACATTGTATTCCAGTATGACAGTAGCCTGGTGGGAGAGATGACAGGAGCCTCTCAGTACCGCAGTCCTGAAGCTATTGTCTTCTTGGTGTCTGTCCTTCCCTCCTTCAGCTCTCTTACTGCCCCTCCCATCTCTTCCATTGCCCCTGACTCTACTACTCACATTTGCCTTGGTAATAGAGGGTGCTACCCATGGCCACAGAGAGGAAGCTGAGGGCATAGAGTCCAGCTCGAAGGAAGAGCACCATGATGGTCTTTGTCTGAAGAGGTCCTGGAGAGGAAGGGGCTGGTAAATCAGGGCAACGGGAATTCCTGAATTACAGAGACAATCAGGGCCTTCAGTCAAGGAAGCACCACCTCCCAGTGCCTCACCTTTCTTCACAAGCAGCCGAGTCCCATTCCCTGTCCCGACACCCAGCCCCAGCACCTCCACTCTGCACACATAGACGCCGGCGTCATGGCATTGGGTGTCCCAGATGTGCAGGTCAGCCTGGTGGTCATAGAGGAATCGGGAAGAGGAAGTGGGGGCCAGGCGGCCCCTGAATTCTGGGGTCATATTGCTCACCTCCTTCCCTAAGGCCACTTTATCTCGGTACCATGTGACAGAGCCAATGGCTAGTGTCCCTTGGCTAGCATTGAAGGAGCAGGGCAGGAGAGTAGTGGTGCCCTCTTGGGTATGAATCTCAGGGAGCTGGCACACCCAGAGAGCACAGGATCCTGTGGGCAGAGAAAAGACCCAGAGAAATGTCACTCCAGTTACTCCAAAGGCAAAAGAGCTTAGAGTAGAAGTTCAGCTGCCCCTCCCCATAGAAGACACAGGATAACCACTTTGGGTATATCTTTTTTTATTTTTTTATTTTTGGCGGGACTTGGGTTTGAACTCAGGGCTTTGTGCTTGCAAAGCAGGAGCTCTACCGCTTGAGCTACACCTCCAGCCATTTTGCTCTGGTTATTTTGGAGATGGGGTTTTGTGAACTATTTCCCCAGGCTGGCCTCGAACCTGGATCTTCCCTATCTCAGCTTCCCACGTAGCTAAGATTACAGGTGTGAGTCACTGGCTCCCGGCCTCATTAAACCTTTTCCTCTTTACAAATTTAGTTCCTAAATATTGCATATTAAGTTACTTTTCAAATTATTTCCCATCATCCTCTCCCATCATTCTCCAGCTACCTTCACTAATAACTTGTCTTGCTGAAATTTATCCTACCACAGTGTAACTGAAGCTTATTAATGAACGTGCCCGCCTATTTAACCAATATGGGCATTATGTTATTCCAGGTATTATTTTAGTATTCATGACATTCTGTAGTAAACTACCCTTGCTCCTTTGTTTTTTGTTAGAGTATTACCTAATTAAATTTCCAGGCAAAGTCACAGCTGTAGACTGGAAGTGAGGGTCAAATGGTACAACATCTGCCTAGCAAGTGCGAAGCCCTGAGTTGAAACCCCAGTACCAGCCAAAAAAAAGACACAGCTGTAGTTGGTTGAGATCCTTATTTATTGCCTATATCAATGGATTAAAATACAATTACTAAAATCTCTGCTTAAATTATCTAATTAGAGAAAAATTTACCAGTCATTCAGTCATTTTCTTTCTTTCTTTTTTTATTTTTTTTTCTTGGTACTGGGGTTTCAACTCAGGGCTTCGTGCTTGCAAAGATACAAAGCAGGCACTCTACTCCTTGAGTCATACCTCCAGTCCATCTTGCTCTGGTTATTTTGGAGATTGGATCTCAAGAACTGTTTACCTGGACTGTGATCCAAACTGCAGTCCACTCAGTCTCAGTCTCCGAAGTAGCGAGGATTACAGGCACGAACCACCATGCCCAGCTTACCAATCATTTTAATTCAGTGACTCTCAATTTTGAATGTACATGGAAATTATCTGAAGGACTTAAGTTTTTAGTTTTTTGTTTGTTTGTTTGTTTTTGAGCTAGCATCTGCTCAGGCTAGCCTTGAACCCCTGGGCTCAAGTGATCCTCTTGCCTCAGCCTCCTGAGTAGCTGGGACTACAGGTATCTGCCATGGAGTATTTGCTAAAAAGAGGCCTGGGCTGGGTGCCCATGGCTCATACCTGTAATCCTAGCTCCTCACGAGGCAGAGATCAGGAGGATTGAGGTTCAAAGCCAGCTTAGATAAATAGTTCAAGAGACCCTATCTCAAAAAACCCATCACAAAAAAAGGGCTGGTGGAGTGGCTCAAGGGGTAGGCCCTGAGTTCAAACCTTAGTACCAAAAAAAAAAAAAAAAAAAAGTTCTGGGCAGTACCCTAGAGGTCTGGAGAGAGTCTTGGGACTTTACTCCAGGTTCCTAGGTGTGACTGAAACTGGGCCTGGAATCTACTTTGAGAAGCTTTGTGATTAGTTAATGAATATGCCTGATACTTACAGTCTCTCAATTAATTAAAATCAATTTCACTAAAAAATTTATCTTAGGCTTAATTAGGCTTCCAAACTTCTAATGATGTATCTAGACCCTAGCTAATAAGCCTAGTTTAATAGATTTTGATATACCAAATTAAAACCCTAAAAAAAATTACCTAAATTACTGGCCCTTTCCTTTTAGCTTGTCTTTCCTTATAGCCCTTTTTACTGGTCCTTTCAAGTTTATTTTACTAGGAAGCTGACTGAGAAGAAAAGGGCTCTGGGATGAAAGCTCAGAATGACCCTTGCAGGGAGGAGTGTGTGACCTAGAGGGACTATGAACCAGGAGAATCCATGGGCACTGGCTTTATGGCAGGAAAGCTGAGCACTTTCCTCAATGTACCTCTCAAGCCACAGTGTTCAGGCCCCACCAACCCTGCTCCCCTGCAGCATCTAAATCCAGCCTCCCGCTTCCCCCTCCTCCCAGTCCCACACCCCTTAGGGTCCTGTCACCTGCATAGACCATGATAAAGATGAGCGACAGCGTCCAGGCCATGTCGGAGGGTGTCCCAGTTGGTGAGGGGGACCTCAGCAGTGAGGTCTGGGTGGAGGAGGACTGACCAACTACTTGTGGCCTGGCCTTTGGTCCCCAGATGGGGATGGAGAGATTCCTAGGACAATCAGGGCTCACACATCGCTTGCCAAGGACCTCTACTGCCTGGGACTTAGGGCAGCAAATGCATGCCTCCCTGAGGACAGAGGATGCTGCAGATGGAAATGCTTGGGTCTCTCTGAGGGGACAGTTGTGGGCAAGGAGCCTGCATGCAAGGGGCAGGGAGGGGCTTCGGTGGCTGGTTACACAAGGAAGGGCGAGTGGGCGGGTGAGACCAGGATGTGGTTCCCCCACTTCCCCCACCTTCTGAAGTTCAAGAAGACCAGCTTTTTACCCAGAATAAGCCTCCAGGAGACCTCTTGGGCCCAGAAGCTAGCCTCCATCCCCTCCTCCTTGCTCAGTCATGCCTAGGCCCAAGGCTTTCTTTCTTTGTCTCTAGGCTGGCCCTTCCCCAGGGCTGCTCTAGGATTTCTTTACAAATTGAAGGGATTAGGAGAAGCAAACTGATTGGTTTTGGTGGTGTGTGTAGTTGGGTGGTAGGGTGGTTGCTGGGGACTTTGGAAGCTGCATTGCATTGGATGGCCCTGATAATGTTGACTGGGGTGGTTTGACAGGATTAAATGCTACTGATGGAGGAGCATGGACTCATGTATATTCAAATCTCTATTAAAGGTACCTTCTACAAGGGCTTACCACTGGGAAATTCACTCTTACTATTTTATTCACCACTTAACTGCATTTATTGGTAATCTACAGTACTGCTCATGACTTAAGATATATTTTACAGACACAAATGAAAGATATATCACATTGCACAAAGCTCCAAGGTTATACAAGGATTAGTACAAGTATATGCCACACACCTGGGAGATAACACAGGAAAGAGAAAAGAATCATTAGTGTAATATGCCAGATAGAACATGGACTCACCCCTTACCACCCACTTTCTTTCTGGCTCTTTTTAAATTAATACATTTTTTTTTCTTTGTGTTTGTTTCTAGCTTTGTTTTGTTGTTGTTGTTTGATTGTTCTTTGTTTTTGTTTTGGCTATACTGGGATTTGAACTCAGGGCCTCATTTTTGCTAGATGAGCACTCTGCCACTTAAGCCATACCCCCAGCCTCCAGCTCTGTTTTGAAATAATGTTTGTCAACTGTTCACTTCCCACCCATTGCCGCACTGACTGGCAAATTTCTTTTGGAGAAGTAGTAATCTCAAGGTTAAGATTATTGGCTTGGCCCAATCTTAATTACAGGCTCACACCTGTAATCCTAGCTACTCAGGAGGATTGAAGTTCGAAGCCAGCCCAGGCAAATAGTTCAAAAGACCTTATCTTGAAAAACCCTATCACAAAAAATTGGGCTGGTGGAGTGCTTCAAGATGAAGGCCGTGAGTTCAAGCCCCAATATTGAAAGAAAACAAAAAGATTGTTGGCTTGGAGACAGGCTGGATTCAAATGCCAGCTCGTTCACAAACTAGTTACATGATCTTGAACATATTAAGTCCTCTCAGCCACCTAATCTGGGAAGGACCCACTCAGTCACTGTCCAGCAGAGCATCTAACTGAAGGGTGTGGGACTGAGGTACCATGACAAGGCAAGGGCTGCCCCCTGGTGGTCACAGAGCATGGGAGGCGCCCTTGGCTCTTCACTGGGCCTCAATTCCAGCTTCTGTCCTGTCCCTTACTTTACCTTCACAACCATCCCCAATCTAAAAAGTCAGTGTGGAGAAAATTGTCTCTTTTATTTCAACTGTGAGAAGCCTCCCTACTGTGGGTAACGAGAGGAGGTTAACCCTAGTAGGGATCTAAAATAGGCCACTGGCCTGAGGATAAAACTCTATATTTTAACAGTGCACACGCAGTCATATGATAGTACTCCATGACCAGAACAAGGTGACTTAGAAGTCAAGTCAGCCTAAGTGGAGTTCTGGTCCCACTACTTACACATCTATAAAATGGGAGTCACATCTGAAAACTTCCAGGCCTCACTACAACAGGTGCTCAGGGTATGCTGATTCTCTACTCCTCCCAAACCTGGGCTAAGGTGACCAGGGTAATTGCTAGGTCTTGACAACCTTGCTCAAGGTTATCCTGCTCTCCCTGCCTTTTTTCTCCACCCAAGGCCTGCAAACCTGTCATTGCTAAAAACGCTGTGGATTCTGATGACAGTATTTGGATTTTTTTTTTTTTTACTCCATCTAAAATAAATGCTGGTATATGTATGGATTCAAGGACCCCTTTCATTATCTCTGAGGCCCTCTAGGGTACTTTAACCTGCAGGATGGGAATTGTTGGGCTAATCAGTTCAATGGCACAAGAGTGAAAGTTTTTCAAAAGAACACTTCCTAGATGACAAATAAGAAAGTTCTGAAGTAGGCATGTACTGGACTTGGACTTTTTTTTTTTTACTGGTGATACTAGGGTTTGAACTCAGGGCCTCATGCTTGCTCTACCACTTGAGCCATTCCACCAGCCCTTGGTCTAACTCTTTTAACAGCCAGCTATGGAGTGGCTGGAGTGTGGTTGGGATGAGATGTGGGTGATTTCTCTGCTGGCCAAGTTCTTATCAATATTCATCAGCTAATGAATGACTTCCAGGTAATGATACTTTCACCATGTGACAAGAACTTCTCCTCTGATGTTCACAGCATCTGACCCCACTACCTCCAGTCATGCCTTCTTGCCATTAGCATCCATCCTTACTCACATTCATTAAGAGATACACCTAAGTGGCTTAAGCAGTAGAGCGCCTGCTTTGGAAGTGTGAAGCCCTAAGTTCAAACCCAGTCCCACCAGAAAAAGAGAGAGAAAGACAGACGGACAGATGCACTTAAAGCTGGGCATATTGACTCATGCTTGTAATATCAGCTACACGGGAGGCTGGGATCGGAAGGATTGAGGTTCTAAGCAAAAAAGATCATGAGATTCTATCTCAGCCAATAATAAGCTGGGTGTGGTGGCATGCACCTGTCATCCCAGCTATGTGGGAAGAACAAATAGAAGCATGGTGATTGAGTGGCCTGACATAAAATGTGAGACTATTCAAAATACAACTAAGGCAAAAAGAGCTGGAGATGTGGCTCAAGCAGTAGAGTGCTTGCCTAGCAAACACTAAGTCCTGAGTTCAAACTCCAGTACCACTAAAAAAGAAAAAAAAAGGTGCATCTGACTCACCAGATTCCTTCATTTCAACCTCTGCCACCCCCTGGTGGCCTTGATGTCTACATTAATGCCATTTATAAGCAATGAGCTACAAGTATATGCAGGAAAATGCACAGGTCTTTAAGTGATACAGGTGTGTGACTCGCACTACCGTTCGGAATATACTCATGGCAGGGACTGCAGGATTCTTCAATCAACTCCAGGAGAATTACTTACTTACAAGCCCCTTTCTCTTTCCAGAAACAACTATTGCTTTATACCTCTGTAGATTAGTTTGATCTGTTCTTGAACTTAGATCAATGGGATGCTGTAGTATATCCTCTTATATGTGGCTTCCTTCATTCTGTGCTGTCTGAGATTTACCCATGTTGCCTCATGCATCTGTAGTTAGCTCCTGTTTATTGCTGATTGATACTCCATTATAAAAATCTACTATATACATGTGTTAATCCACTCACCTGATGATGCACAATGGGGTTGTTTCTATTTTTATTATTATGAAATAAATCTACTAAGAACATTGCTTTACACGTCTTGCAGATGCCTTTCTGTTTCTTTTTCTTTTCTTTTTTTCTTTTTATAATCATGGACCACAGTATGAAACACAAACAGAAAAGTCCTCATGCATGCTAGGTAAGTACTCTGCCACTGAGCTACACCCTCAACCCGAACAGATTTTCTGTCTCTTTTTTTTTTTTTTTTTTTGTGGCACTGGAGTTTGAACTCAGGGCTTCATGTTTGCTAGGTAGGTGCTCTTACCACTTGAGCCACTCCACTAGCAAAAATGCCTTTCTAATACCCTAACCTCGAAGCTACTTCACTTTGTCCACGTCCGCCACCAACCTGACTCTACATAACCAACATCTTGGATCTTGTCACCATGAAGCCTTCCGGCCTGAGCCCCCTCACTCCTGCACTCTGGAGGACTTCTGGGTTGTTTCTCACACTTTCATTCTACAAATTTGGAACAAATGTCATGGGTTTATCTAGGCAGTCCTGTCACGGCCACAGTTTCTTTCTTTCTTTTTTTTCCTCCTTTTTTCTTCCTGTTTTTTAATAGACAACTAATGTACGGACACAGTAACAAGGTTTAAGGGCAGTATATCTCACACAATGACATGAAAACCCAGTCTCCACACTTATGAACCACAAAAGGGTCTATAGCCACAGGGTTGTTTTTTGGTTTTGTTGTTGTTGTTGTTGTTGTTTAATGTTTTTGGCTCTTTCAGTTTATTGCATGAAGTTATACTAGCCCAGGTTAAAAGTGAACCCCAAATGGTTACATCGTACAAGGTGTGAGGTTTTTGAACTTGTGACAAGGACAAAGGGAAATTCAACTCATTGCAAGGAAATTGTCACTTAAGCTTCAGTGTGCCACAAGCACTTAAAACCCATGAACCTTTGGTTGACCCCCTCCACTCACTAACAGGAGCTGGCATCTGCTCTTGTGCTGGTCACCATGTAGCTGAATTACTTCTCTGTGTTCTGGAAGCCATTGCTGGCAAATTTCTTCTCAAATGTCTTCACTAGTTTTTTTTTATCGTAATCATCATCACTGGCAGGGTCTTCCTGCCAGTTCTCTGTTCTGTTTTTTTTTTTTTTTTTTTTTTTGTGGTAATACCAGCGTTTGAACTCAGGGCCTCACACTTACTAGACCACTTGAGCTCTACCACTTGAGCTACACCCTCAGCCTGGCACCCTCAGTGCCATTAAAAAGCAGGTCATCACCCTTACTTTCATCAGCACAGGGGCCAAAAGACTGGAGGTTCTGGGGAGCAGACACATGGTAAGATTCTTTTTCCTCCATGGAAATGCAACTGCAGGAGAAGTCGGATGGATGGAGCTGGGGACCTGCTGAATCCTCAGAGGTGGCTCAGTTGACTGGTGTCTCAGCCACAGTTTTAATTACTGTTTGTTTTCTGATGAGTTCCCAAACTATAGCTCCACCTCAAAGGTATTTCTTGAGGCTGAGTTCAGAATATCTAACTGCCCTCTAGATGTCCCTTCCTGAATATTCTGCAGGCATTTCAAAATCATCAGTGTTACCAGGTGCTGGTGGCTCACACCTGTAATCCTAGCTACTTGGAAGGCTAAGATCAGGATGATTGCAGGTTGAGGCCAGCCTGGGCAAATAGTTCCGGATTTCTAAAATAACCAGA